TCCTTCCTCTCCCTGGGCCTCGGTTGCCACAGACTGACTCTGTCTCCTCCTTTCTCTCCTGCTGCGCTCAGTGGAGGATCGTGAGGATGAGCTTGTTAAAAAGCCCAGGTAAGGGGAGCGTGTGCCAGGGTGGCAGCAGGAGCTGTATAGAGGGCTGCATGTCCTGGGCAGGACTCTGGGCACTGCTGGCTCTGAGCTGGGGAGGCTGAGCTGCACCTTGGCCTCTTGGGCAAATGGGTTCTGGAGGAGGCTGGAGACACTGGCAAAAACCGGTTGTGGGTTTTGGGAGGTGCTGGGCAGTGCCTGGACCTCGAGTACAAGGGCCCATGAGGCTGGCGGGGGCTGTCGGGTGGCTGGGCAGAGCTGGGCAAGTGCCACCAGCTGGTTTGCCCTTGCCCTCACTGCTTGCGGTGACTCCGGGGAAGTTCTTTGCCCCGTGGCTGTTTCTTCTCTCCTCTCCTCCTCCTCTGTCCTCCCATTCCCTCTCTGTCCTCTCCCTCTCGCCAGAGCCGAGCCGTTGGCCGAGCTGCAGAGGCTGCCCTGTGCTTGCCCCACGATGGGCACCGCCAGTGCTCAGCCACTGCTCTGACCGTCCCCTCAGGAGGGTACTGTCTGGGCACCAACCTGCCAGGCAGGCTGTCGCCAAACGAAGTGTCCTTATGGTGGGTTGTCCCTGTGCCAAGGTGCCGGGCAGGACCTGCTGAGCACTGCTGGCACTGAGCTGGGGAGGCCAAGCTGCACCGAGGAGACCCGGACACAGTGGGTAGGGGCAGCTGGTGGCACTGGCAACACTTTGCTGGGGGTGCTGGGAAGTGCTGGGCAGCGCCTGGACCTGGGGCACAATGTCCTGTGGGGCTGTGAGGTGGCTGCAGGGCTGGTCTGGAGCGAATGCTGCTGGCATCTTCGTGGGGCTGGGGGTGCGTACGGGAGGGATGCACTGAGCAATGGGTCAACCATTGGCTGTTGTGCCACCGTTTTTTCTGATGCTCAGGTCCAGCTGGGGCACAGGGGAGCAGTGGTGAGTGCTGGGGTCTGGCGAGGGGGTTGGTGTGAGCAAAGGGTGCCTTTGGGAATGCTTCCCTGTGTCAAAGCAGGGTTCATGCTTGGTGTCGGCTGAGCGCCTGCCCTCTGTCACTCGCAGCCAGTCCGCACAGCCTCTGGAGCCCCCCAACACCCCCGTGTGCAACCCTGGGAAGCTGCAGCTGATAGAAGACGCTGAGGACTGGCAGCCCCGTACCGGGCCCTCCCAGTCCCGCCTCTTCCGCAAACTGGCCCGGCCGACGGGCACAGATGGGAGGAAGGTCCCGCAGGCCCCAGAGCTGCCGGGCTGCCCGGGGGTGCCCGGCTTTGCCAGGGCAGCCAGTGCCTGGCAGAGGCTGTGGGGTGATGTGGCAGCAGGGGCTTTGATTTTGACCCCGTGTGGCCCCTCCGGGGAGACTGAGCTGTTGGGAGCTGCCCGGGGCTGTGCGTGGGCTTGTGGTGGTGCCGCTGGGCTGAGGCCGTGCTCTGCCCCGCAGCCGGGCAGGGCTGTGTGTTGGGGCAGGGGGGCAGCAGGAGGGGA